ATGCTGCTCAAGGGTGATCAGTTGGGTTTTCCCTATGTAATAATAGTGATAACAGTAAGGTCTAGACCTTATTTTGTAAAGTGTCCTGAGATGACTTTTGTTGTGATTTGGTGCTATATAAATAAAATTATGATTCGATTTAGTTTAACACATCTTAATCTATGAATGATATATAGAAATACAAGTATACACTGTGGTGGTAAAACAGATGACAAAGCTGCAGCAACCTAATGTTAAGGATATTTAATGCATTTCTATTTAGGACAAATTTACCAGAAGTTAACATTCAAGAAATGATTAGTTTCATGATGCATGTTTCCAACAAAGAAATACTACCATTTTTTAAGGAAATAAGGGGCTTTGAATACAGGCCATTGATATTATAGATGGCTAAAGTGGAATGACAGCCAGCAACTGTCTAGTTTTAAAAGTGATTATTGCAGTAAATCCAACTACTGTAAATCCTATTACTGCTACAACTTCACCAGAAGATTACATTTTAGTTACTGCAGCTTAATTTACAGTTTATTGAATGTTTGTTCTCATAAAAGCTAAAAATTAATCTGCTTGATATTTTGAGGGCGTTTGATCACTTTATCAATGAAGGAAACACAAAGAAGGAGACACAAAGTTAATGATGTGTAATGGTGGCAATATAGAAGCATAGGGAGAGAGGAGAGGTGTCAGGTTTGCCCAGCTCCACTTTCCTCTCTTCTTTTACCTCACACTAGCCTAGCCCTTGCACTGATTACACTATTCAACACACCTGCCCCGCTACCCTGATTACTCACCAGCTGCACCTCATTAGTCTCCTCCATACTTATACACTGTTCACCAGTCACTCCCCTGCCAGTTCTTTCTCTGTCTTCAGGCCAGTGGTTGTTATGTTGTTTTGTCGAGTTTATGCTAAGATTGTCTTTGTTCTCTCTAGTCCTTGTTAGCACCCTAGTCGTTATCCTGCCGTCTCTAGTGTCTAGTTCCTCTTCGGACCTCTCCTCTGGACCCCCTGGATTTAATCTACACCACCAGCCACCGCCTCACAGGTCGATGCACAGTCTCCCTTACCTAGTTTATCCCTGCTCTTCTGTCTACAGCCATCATCACCTCCACCTCGACCAGCCCAGGAGTGACCTCTACGTCCGCAGCCCGGTACATCATCATCCACCATACCACTGACTGTTTTTCTGCTGCTGCTGATCGACACCAGCTTTATCAAAAAGGAAAGTCTTAAGTCTAATCTTAAAGGTAGAGAGGGTGTCTGCCTCCCGAACTGAGACTGGGAGTTGGTTCCATAGGAGCGGCGCTTGATAGCTAAAGGCTCTGCCTCCCATTCTACTTCTGTGGACTCTAGGAACCACAAGTAAACCTGCACTCTGAGAGCGAAGTGCTTTGTTGGGATGATAAGGCTCTACAAGGTCTTTAAGATACAATGGAGCCTTGTCATTAAGGGCTTGTCATTAATAGAAGGATTTTAAAGGACATTTGCTGGTCAAAAATGACTCCAAGGTTCCTCACAGTAGTACTGGAGGTGAGAACTGTCATCTAAAGTAACTATATGGTTAGACAGCAGATTTCTAAGGTTTTCAGGCCCGAGCACAATGACTTCAGTTTTGTCAGAGTTTAGAAGTAAAAAGTTACAGGTTGTAATGTTTGAGTTAGATGTGTTTCACTATTGCATTGATGACTGTTATAACTGCTTAGTATCTTCTGTTTGTCTGTTAAAAGAATGTGTCTGCAGGAGGTCTGTGCTTCAAAGTTAACCAAATGTGTGGTATTTACTGTTCATTTATTAGGGCTTGTGTACGCAGGATGTCAAATCATCAAGAAAGTGATTAACTAGTGACCCCAATATTCTTTTTTTATTTCAGCTCATTTGGGATTTTCCTTTCATTTGTCATCTATATGTAACAGTTGCCTGAATGGGTAATGACACAACTACAATGTTAAAGGAACCATCATTTAAAAAAAAAAAAAAGCCCATGTCTTACAGTCATGGCCAAAAATATTGGCACCCCTGCATTTCAAACCTGAAACTCAGTGATAGTTCCAGGAAGTGACTGATTTCAGTTAAAGGTGTGCTACCAAATATTAAGTTGAGGGTGTCAATAATTCTGTCCAGTCCATTTTTTGGAGATCTGTGTGGAATGCGTCAGATTTTGCTTTTTAGCTATCTGCTTTTTTGTGTTGTTCCAATGCAAAAAACAAACAAAAGAAACTCCAACAAAAATATGAATACCAAAGAATATGTGATTGCAACAATTTGCTGGGAAAAGTGGTGCATTATCTGACAGAAATGCAGGGGTGTCAATGGCCATGACTGTACATACCATGATCACATTATACAGTATGTCTCATCATGATCATCATCAAACACAGGGAAGGTACACCAAAATAGTCAGATTGGGAGTATAAATAAACAGATCAGAGTCAAACCCTGCTGCAAGTCATCAGCATTTAGTTTAGATAAGGGTTAAGTTACTTGCAAGACCACATTACTTTGGAAATGTTGCACTTACTTGGGCTAAGGGAGGGGTTCTAATAAATGCTGGAGCTGAAATGTGCATTGTGTTTGACACTTGAACACACTCAAAAGTTAGCTGTGGAAAAGCTAACACTCCGTGTTTTTTCTTTGTTTTTGTTTTTTTTACTTTTACTATAAATGTTATTGTCTGCTATGCAGTCTTATCTCTGACGTCAACCTCTGTAGGTGTGTCTGACTTGCCTTCCAGGATATTCTGGATTTGGTTGAGCACTGTTTCATGAAACACTATATCAAAGTGGGGGAGTCCTCTGTACTCTGTTACATGGACAGGCTTCTCCTGTTGCCCCACCCAATGTTTGCAAAGACTCATTCTATAGCTGTTCAGTGTGTTGTCCCCGTCGGCGTACACAAAGTCCACTGGGTCCGTGTTGGGAAACCCTTCGTCGTAAATGTATGTTACAACAGTTGGAAGCCCCACGCCATACATGCACCACACCTCAACACCAGGTGGGTGGAGATCACTAGTGAGGTTCTTGGTGTCCTCCCACATGTACCTGGAACCAACAAGAAGACAAGGGGTTTACCATAGCCCTCTCTTATCATGATGGACAGATTAAATGGAAAGTGATCAAAATCAGTGCAGAGATACTGTGCTTTTTATCCCACAAATGCTTCTTTCCTGTCAAAACTTAGCTGTCATATTACCCACAATGCAACTCAACTTAATTCACTGAGCTGTAAAGATTTTAATGTATTATGCTAGTAGTCGCTAAGGGGGTCCCCGATGGACTAGTGGCTAGGATTCAGCGCTCTCGCCACTGCAGCCTAGGTTCAATTCAGGGTTGTGTCAGCAAGGGCATCTGGTGTAAAACATGCTAAATTTCAACATGCGATTCACTGTGGCGACCCTTAATAGGAACAGCCGAAAGTGACAGACAGACAGATGCTATTAGTGGCTAAAGTAGCCTCAAGCAGAGATGAGGAGCAAGACATCTAATAAGATCAGTTGTCTCCAGATTTTTTTTTTCCATTTTCAAACTTTCAGTATTCAGCTCCAGCCGACAACTGACTCGTGGCAGTTGAGGTAATTTATCAGACTTCATGTATACGTCTCTGGAGACAAAAAGCTTTATGCAACTTTTTTCACATATGTAGTAGTACTCCCCAAGACCTGCAAACAGACTGTGTAAAATTTTTTCAGTGCACTTTAACGTATACAGCTACACCTTACATGTTATAGGAATAGTTCGGATTTTTCAAGTTGTTAAAACAATACTGATGCATTCCTATGTACGTGAGAATAGATCTTGGTTGTTGTCACTTCTCCTACTCTCCACACTAACCATGAATGTTTCCACCGGGAACCTGACTACGCTGCAAAAAATGAGGGACAAACTTCACAACTCTCATTCTCTAAAAACATGTGCTCCAAAGTTTGCCTATGGCTCAAATGCAGCTTCAGTTGTCCCACTAAGCTAATTCATTTCAGTATATTTCTAATTTACAATCAGTTTAAAACCTCTTATTTCCCTGGGCAGTACTTTGTTGGGCTGCGGTAGAGGGACATGTTATAGTAGCAGTGTGTTAGTTTTAGCTGGTGTTTACTACTGCAGCTGTGTACCTTGCAAATTTGACAGCTGGAGGATTTTGGTGGTTTGCAGGACACCAGTAAAACCTGCTCCTGCATTTCTCTTGATTATTTCTGCCCCATTTGCATCTCAAGTGAAGAACCTGATTCATGTCTTTACTCATCTGGTGTGTTTTGAAAGAAACAAGCAATGGGCCAAAGCATCCACAGGTTTCACCTGAGAGATCCTGAAATGGGCAAAATGGACATAAAGACATCATTTGCGAACCTGAGAGAGTTATGTGTATGTGGAGCCCATTTCCACAGCAGGAGAGGTGAGAGAAACTGTGAGTTGTGCCATCACTAGTCAAGTTAACAGCTGACGAGGAGGTAAGTGCAAATAAACGCATAAGGTGTCGTTATTTATCCATCAACCAAACAAGAGCTACCTGTGTTTAGGATAATGTCTGTAACAATGTGACACTGACTCAGCATTATAAAAACAAATGTTAGTGTATGCTATTGTATCTCACATAGCCATATAATATAACCAAGAGATTGCAATATTGATTATGCATTTATGTGAGTAAAAAGCTGGTTGCGGGTAACAGAACATAGACACTACTACTATAACATATCCCTCCGCCACAGCTCATCAAGATACTGTCCAGGGAAATAATAGGGAAATTTGTCTTAGACTAACTTTGAAAGATACCGACTCAAATTAGCATGGTGGAACAACTGAAGCGCAATTTGAGCTTCAGACAAACTTTAGAGTGCATGTCTTTACAAACCCAGAGTAGTTTATTTTGTCCCTCATTTTTGCAGCGTAGAGGTATAATTGGCCAGCTGGTGCACTTAGTGGAACATTTACTCTAGAGCCAGATATTTCTTCACCACCTGGCAGAGACCAAAAATGAAGGTACAAGACAAGTTCAAACTCACATGTCTCTTAAAGGGGATGTGAGGTTACACACTGTTTGGATAGTTGCATGTTATGCCTAAAACACACCCCTGCTTTAATGAGGAGATCAAGTGCAGCCTTTTTGCTACTTGCATGGCTGCTTGAACCATTTTTCCTTGTCAAATTACCAAAATGAACATGGACACACCCAAGCACCACTTGCGCCAATACATCTTGATCAGATGCTGTGGATCCTCAAAATAGGGCCTTAAATCTTCCAAACCTTGTGAGTCGAATAGATTCAGGAATATTACATATAAACACTAGGTAAGGGCATAGCTTTTGTGTAATAACATTAAAGCTGTTAATTACCAGCCGTCGTCAAAACTGATATCTCTGAAGAAACGCTGATAGTCCTGGGTGGTGTAGTTGAAGGTTGGTGTGGAGATGAACACGTGATCCTTTGGCCAGGCTTCTTCAAATGGCAGCATCCACGGATTAGTTGTCATCATCCTCTGCTCCTCACGGATCTTGATGTTGGAAACCATTGCAATGCCATAATTCTGACCTACCATTAGTGGTGTGTCAAAAAGAAAAAAAATTGGGGGAGTTCACAGCTACAGGTGTGAATATAGCAAGAATCTGTAGTTTTGCAGCATTAAATTGATCAAACATGAAACACTCAGTCAAAGCAGGTGGTTGTTTTAATGTTCTACAGTTTAAGTTTTTGATCCCAATTAGTATCAAATATAACACAATATGAGGGTTTATGAGTACTTTTTGTTGTATTGACAGGTCCAGGTGCATTGCCAGTAAGTCATCTCTTCTATTGTACTGGATGCTAGTCCAAGTTCTTTGCATTACCTGACGCCATGACATTAAGTGCTTTAACAGCACCTCCCCATGGGGCTCCTAGGGAAATGAAGCCCCTGATATGCTTGTCCTTCCAGGCCTGAGGCTGATGGTTGAGGAAGTAGAGGACATAGTGGCAGCCCATGCTGTGTCCCAGCAGGTAAACGGGATGCTGGTACTGCTCGTACATCTCCTCAACCAGGTCCTGCAGCTTCGTGAAATACTCCGCATTCTCATCTGCAGGAGAAGAGATGTCACAAGGCAAACAGCAGCAGACCAAAAACAACACCTCAGTGCCTGAATGTTAGTCTGGTATTCACTCTCTTTTTAGCTCTGATATGGTCTCCATCACCTTCTGAGATAAAATGTTGTCTTTAGCTGATAGGTACTTGACTTTCTTTACTAGCTACTCACTTTGTCCTGGACCTACAGAGATGTATGAGCTGACTCTTCATTTCCCACCTGGGTTTTAATATCTGTCAGCTCATTGTTTAGATTTTACAGCCCACAACTTTACTGTTTTTGTTTCACTGTTCTCATCAGCCTCCAGTTGCAACTGGCAGCTCATGAACCCACTACCTCAGAATTTGAGATTAGTTTTAACATAGTGTTTTCTTTGCCTTCAAAATTTTTTCCTCTCTGTTTTTTTTAACTTAATACTGTTGTTTTTTCTCATCAAAACTAGTGAAACTGTTAAGTATGTTATGGTAATGTGCCAGATATACTGTACGGAGCTGTTTAGTTACATTGTGTGTATGAGGATGCATGTGTATTTATATTACTTACTCGGAGCTAATCTCCAATCATATGGTGCTCCTCGGACTGTCTCATCTCGGGTATAGCCCACACTGACCAAATGTTGCACCATAGTGTGAAAATAACCTGCAAAAACAACAGTGGATTGTGTCTATAGCAATGGATGGATATTAAATTAAGATATCTAGTGTAGGAACTAAGCCTAGAGCTATCCAATGTGTTTGTTTGAATTAAACCTTTTCTGTTATTCAACAGCACTGCAGGGAAGAATGGCAGGATCTGTAAATCCTGAACCCCAAATCAGCCAGTACATTAGTAGTTCTCTCACCAGCCAGTTTGTTATAGTCAAGAAATTCAATGGCATAGGTCTGCCCGAATCCTGGCACCCGCACCTGCACCCCTGGAGAGTTGGATGACCGCCGAGTTGTCCTGTTGTAAACAAGTCTGGGACACACACATAAGACATCTGCATTCAAGTCTGTCTGCTTGAGCAAAATGTTCTCTAATGTGACTCTAATAGTAGCTGTAAAAAAGTTAATTTTGAAGTAAAAGGTTCTCATGATACTGCTTGAAACCAAGGGCATAGTTTTGCTTATGAATGGTAGGGACATGTCCCTACCGATATTTGAGCAAACCCATGTAAAGCAGCTGTGAGACGAGTATGCTGGGACCATCTACAAAGTGCATCACTGAAAAGAGATTGGCCTGCTACAAAACTATTCAATGACTTTACTCTTACCCAGTGCAGTGTTACCAAAACTACTTCTCACATTAATGGCCGTGTACTGCTTATACTACAACACTTAGTTTAGAAAAAAAAAATGCTTTTGTATAATTTTGGTGAATTTTTATTTTATCAGTCACTTCACTGTTAGACAGTAGCGTGACCAAAATCACTCATCATTATGGACAAGCTACAAGCCCTGTGAACTTGAATTATTTTGTATGTCCAAAGCAGCATCAGGCAAGAGAAGCAGAGCAGGGGCATCTTCAGTAGGTTCAAAAGTGAAATGCAGACTGCAAGTCTGAGGCTGCAAGTCAAGGTTAGCCAGCGTTACCTAATGTTATCAATCCAGCAGTCTACACCAACAGGCATCAACATGTTGAGGTCGATCCACAGGGGGAACCAGTGTTCACTTTTCTTGTAGCACAGCCAGTGGACCAGTGTTGGCTTGTCTATCTTAGCTTCCAGGCGGTTCCCCATGCTCCCTGGTACTGGACACACAAATGCACACATACCCAATAGTGTTTCACATTACAATGCAAGCACAGAAAGGTTAAGTACACTGTAGGTCACTGGATTCTAACCCACAGGTCCCAACCCTTCACACAATAACATTTTTGTATTCATCTTTTACTTTTTCTGTGAAGCTTGATGGTATGAGTGTTCCAAGTCAGACTAATCAAACTCTCTTAACTGCACAAAATCACTTGTTGCAGCCTGAAGAGCATATTTGGTGATGTTAGGTATTTTTAGTCAGATAGATATTGGTCAGATACTTGTTGTATTAGGAATGTTTAGAGTAGACAGGATGTCTAGTTAGGCAGTCTCATGAATGCTGCAGGATAACTAGATAGAAAAGTTTGACTGTCAGCAGACAGGATGTTTAATATTATTATTATGACGTGTATAACTGTAGCCATAGCCATAACATTTTCTTATGTTTAATGTCATGACATGTCACTAGAGGTCGTGTCAGAATGTTTTTAGCTACACACCACAATCAACAGACACACACACATTGATTTTCTTCATGTTTTGACTATTGCCATGGTCAGCTGCAAAGCTGGCACCGGGACACGTCACGGTTTGGCGTTCCTGTTAGTATGGGGCTAGCCCAACCTAAGTGATAAATGTATAGGCCTGTTGGGTTCAGGGGTCTTTCATCTTTCAGCTGCCTGCGTGCATGTTGGAGGTGCAAGATACCTGAGCGTGTAATGTTAATTTTTACCTGTGTTCATTAAATAAATCAGCACTGTTTTGAAGTTACTTGGACTGCCTTGTCTCTCAGAGTTAGCATGGTTAAAAGAATTGGAATGCTACAACTGGTGCCGTGACGACGTGAGCCTGCTAAACTCTCCAGACGACCGGTCCATAGTCCCGGACCAGCAGACGGTGCCGGAATCCCGTGCCAGGCTGAGCTGAGAATCCGACATTCTGTCCTATTTTGGCTGAGATTCTCCAGACAAGAGAGTGACTCGCTGGTTCTCTGTTGAGCTGTGTTGCCGTGTCCCACATCAACTAGGTTGACCAGAAACAACGAGGTAAGACAGGAACCTTTGTTTATACATAAACTCCTGCACATTGAACTTATGCCAAATTAAAGTTGATGTGTGGAACTGCCCACTCTCGACATTTTAAATTGATTCAAAACAGTAAGGATAATAAAACATTTTTTTGTGTGTGTTTGAATGATGTGCTGTAACAGTTGACAAAGCACATAGTCTCATTTGAGGGGAAGTAAATGAGTGTCGTTGCTCACAGAATTTGATATCAATAAGGGACGTAAAATTCACGTTTTATAAGTGGATTTCTGCTACGTAGTAGCAGTTGTCTCCTCATTTTTCCCATTTCCTTTTTATTTTCCCTCCGGCTGGAGCAGAAGCAGAGACTCATCTCAACCAAAAACAGATGCTCTCTGATACATTACACACATGTGATAACAGGCACAGGGAAAGTCTTGCTGTTCTCATGAAATGTGGGGTGGTTATCTGCACAACAGGCCATTAAAACATTTTTTCACAAGCGTATCACAGCTGGACAATAGGTCTGGAGGTGAGAATTCGTTGTGAAGTTAACTGTACAACAAGCTGATTAAAAAGTAGATACGCAGACGTATCACGGCTGAACATTTAGGTTCGGCTGTGAAACTTCGTTGTGGATTTGACTGCCTTGTACAGCAGTGTATGGTGTCCGGGTGGAAACAGGCTTAGTGGGGAAATTCCATATCAGCTTATGGTGGCTGCTGTCCCGTTGAGATAAAACGGTGTTAATCAGCTGGGAATTAACCCCAAGGACCTGCGCGCATCAGCAATTAGGCTGATGTAGAAGCTTCGCAGAGGTCAGCTGGTTTTCACTGGACCGACAGTCTCTCATAACGGACAAGCGTCACGTGTGGCATATAATTTTTTCATTATGGCTGACTGTGATATTATTCAGGTTTGGAAGAAATACCCATCTGGCACACTAGGTGCTATTTTGTACCAGCTGTTCAACAAAACAAATGGCTTACCACACAGAGTTTAAACGAATATGGTAGTGAAACTAAGAGATTTTTGGCATGATGTGAAAAAATGATGGAAAAGGGAATGTTCAATGCCTATGACGAAGCTCCCCCATAACTAGGAACTGTAAGATTATTTATCAAACAAGCAGCCCATGCAGCGAACACAGCACGGTGGCACAATGATACAGCGCCTTTGCTACAAAAACACAAAACAGAAGCTAAAGTTAAACACTGTGAGACATTTCT